CCTAATTAATTGACGTTTGAAGGTGTGAGGAAATAAACAGTTGTCCAGAGCCATCCCATAGTGTACCCGGGAGGTTCTTTGATCAGTGTTTGTTAACAAATCGGGTTGGTTTCTGGACAGTTGGTGCTGGAGACATTAGCATGAGGAGTGGCTGTCAATCCAGATTTTAGAATGACTGTCATATCTTCCACAAGAGCTGTTTTTCCACGGCCAAATCTCTTTGTGATTCTTATTTATCAGGTTTTTTGAAAAGTTTTTGTTTGTTTCTTTATTTGTTGTTGTTTTGGCTTACAAGCATCCTTACTGTGGCTATCTTTAGAATGTCTGCTTTTTTTTAAATAGTAACTTTTACCCCTTATTTTCTTTCTTTTACTTTACCTTTCTTTTTTCTTTGCATGTTTTTCTTTCTTTTTTTCTTTTGTCTTGTTTTGGAAGGGACATTAACTTGAATCTATTTAGCTAGTTTCTAGTTTATATTTGTCAAATATTTTGGACTAAATTTATTAATACTGACTTGTTCATAAAAGAAATTGTTTCTTGAAGTTGTAAGACTGGATTCTTTAAAATATGGAATTACACTTATGTTAAAAAGAATGAGCACACCAATCACGTGGGAGCTTATGTAGCTGTAAGAGAAGGCAAATATGAATCGATACACCTAATTTTGCAATAGAAAATCATCACTGGAGACCATATTTCAACAATCACGTTTGTGTAAAGATTGGATTATCTAGGATAGTTAACATCAAATATTATGGATTATCTATCAAGTATTCAGTTGGAATTTACAGATTTTATGATGTAAATTAATTTCCAATATTATATATATTTATATAGTCATATTGGCTGCCATATTTGATCTCCATTTCATCATATGGTTGTTTCAGCAATATCAGAGAAGAGGGACAGGTGCAAAAAGGTAAACTCAACTGTTTGGGGCAATGAGCATTCTAATGTTACTGAAAATTGTATCCCCTCAATTTACCATCTGCTGTGCTACCCCCCTTCTCCCTCACTCTCCCCAAACTTCCTCTGTTCTCTAGTGTGCTACCAATTGCCCTGAACTCTTTTAGCTCTTCTGTTTCCATAACTACTCCTTTTCTGATTCCTTAGAAAGCAGTATTGACAATTTCATCTTGCTACTATTGAAATATGTTATTTTGATGATGAATTGCACTAATAGGTTTTCTGTTATTAAGCTTGCTAAGCCATCCTTGTGCTTCTGGGATAAGCCTGATTCTGTATGAAATATTTTGTGTGTGTGTGTGTGTGTGTGTGTGTGTGTGTGTGTGTGTGTCTGTGTATGTGTGTGTGAGATTAGTTAATCGTGCATTTCTTTAGGAATGTTTTTGTCAAGTTCTTAAATGAAGTTGACCTGTGAGTTTTCTTTCTCATAATATCCTTGTTCAGACTTAATAACAAGATTGTTAGGATTATAGTAGCCTCAAATTGAGTTGGGAAGTTTTACTTACTTCTACATCTAAGAAAACTTGTGTAAACTTGGGCTTATATGTTCCCTAAGGATTTGGTAATGCTCACATGTAAAACTGAGCCTTTTTTTTTCTTTGTTTTTGATATATTGCTGTATTGTACTTGGAAGTTTATTATGCATTTTATTTGGTTTTTGAAGGTATAATAACAAGTGATTGTAATAAAAATATATAATATTTTTTAAAATGGGAGAGGATGTGCATATACTTACATGCAGAGGGAAATGGACCAGGTAGCATTGGAGATTTTAGAGGAAAGCCTAGGTAATTTAGAGAAGCATTTAAAGAGGAAAGAAGAGATGAGAGCAACTGGTCCTTAAAAAGAGGATAGAGTGACTTTTGTCTGATCCGTTGGGGAAGTTGGAAGGATAAGTATTGCTCCAGGTTTTTAGTTCAAGAGATGGGTTGGTGCAGAGACTTTTTTGCAAGGCTCTCGTGGTATCGGTGAGCTAGAAGCCAATGTAATATGCAAAATTGAGATGGCAGACCTTTTGGAGGAAAGTCAAAAAGAAGAGAATATGCAGATTACTCAACTTTGATCTATGTTAACCATAAAAATATACAGTTTTGCTGGGGAAGTTCATTAGAATTTCAAATAAGGATATTGAACAATATTGACAGAACTATATGCTGTTAACTCATTTTTTCACGTACATGACTCCTTTTATCACTTGAGGGTATTTTAGGAAGTAGTATAACTAACTTCCTGTTGTTCAGTGCAGGGACCAAAACCTGATGTGTGTCTCTTTAGCCTGGTTCCTGTTAGCCACTTTCTTCCTAGTCTTCCAACTAACCGGAAAGATGAATGCATGGGAAATAAGTACACTGATTTTCTCTATTTCCCATAGTCTTCTTTCTCTTAGAGGCTCATCTCTTCACTCCCCTAGCAGGAAGGTCAGCCCTTGGCCTTCTGTTCTTCCCTCATGCAATTGGAAAATTGGATGCGAGCCCAGGTCTGGGGGCTGTGAGTTGTGGTGAACAGAGCCCCTGATGTTCACTCTGGAGCCTGATGCTGGCAGTGCTCCCTAGTCATGTGTTCCCCTCTGAATGATGAACCTCTTCAACTAGAATATCTTTATGGACACTTAGAGGTCTTAGAGATGTTTAACAATGACTGCGGGGCCAACTTGCCATGGGAAATTTTTCATGTGCAACATTCCCATTGTTGAAAGATAATAATCTGACATTATTCTCTTTCTCTAAAGTCACTTCAGACTCCTGCCGCCTGTCTCAGTCATCACAGTTTTCTTCTTCATTTAATTTGGAAACTATTTTGTTCTCTTTAACTTGTTTTCCTTGACTTCATTTCTATACCAGAAATGAAGACTGTTCAGTTATAGAATGTTTTGTAGAATATTTTGCCACTGCAGATCCCATGTCTTCTTTATCCATTTTCAAAACCACTACCTAAATTGTATATTTTTTAGGTTTTAAAAAATCTACGATTTTTCCTTCCATTCTCTGCCCTTTTCAGACCATTCTTTCTATCAAGTGCTCATTCAAATTCCAGAGACATCTGCTCGAATGGGTCAAGTGCTTTCCTGAAAACTTTTCAAAGCTTTGCTGTCACATATAAAATCAAGCCCAAACCTTTTAACACGAAAGTGAATTTTTCTACAGTTTGTATTTAAATACATCCGTCAGTTTCCCCTTTCCTAGTAGCTTCTTAAGTTGCTGTTACTTTTTCTTTTCTATTTTCTCTTTTTCCTCTTTCCTTTCCTTTTTTATTCTTCAACTCTTGAATTCGCTTACTTGTTCTTCATTTCACACATTTATTATTGCCTTTCACATTCAAGGTGCTGTGTTGTATGCTGCAGGCACTGCAGGGAGCAATGCAGACACAATAGCCGTTGGGTTCTCTCTCTTGCCTGGGAATGGAGACACTGATGGAGTGAACATGAGTTATACCAGTGATAGCCACAGGGGGCACCATGGCCTCCCATGTTGCTGTCTTGCTTTGACACTCTAGGATGTCTTTCCTGTCACTCTCTGCTTAAATCTTTCCTTTTGTTTTACCGAAGCTCAAATCATCTCTTCCTTTCATATAAGTCCTGTAACTCCATAAGCCCCTAATAAACACTTTACATTGACAGACACCCTATTTAAACATACTAGTACCATTTCTTTAACTGAAGTACAAACTCCTGGAAGGGTTGCTTATTAATAACTGTTTATAGTTCCAGTGCCTTGTACATAGCTTGCTCTATATATTTTGTTTTCATTTATTTGCCTATAAAATGTAGAAATTTATATAAAAATCCTTTAAAAATCAAGATATCATGCACATTACAGTTTCAAGCCCCTCTCTATATAGCTCACACCTGGTTTCCTTTAAGCAGAAGATAAATTTCACTTGATATAACTTCCCTTCAATAACTGTTATTAGAGAAAAGACACGTTTATTATATAGAGATAGTTCTTAAAAATAACTCCTCTCAATGACATCAACAAAGAAATTTATACATGACATAATATGGGATGAGGGCATATGGAAATATGCCCCCATTAAAAACATAACACTGATGTTTTTAGCATCAGTGTTTGCTGGAGGAGATTCTTTCCTGTGTTACACACTTTTCCCTCCAACCAATAACTTCATTGATTTGACAGTTGTTATGTGCCTTGTTAGTCAGTGTGGTTATTCAAAAATACTAAATCCAAGAAAAAAATACAATCAGATGACATGGTTAATTGTCAATGATAATGATGAGGTATCCCACGACTGGCAGGCAACTCACTGAATACTTTTTAGTATTAGAAATGAGCTAACGAAAATTGCAAAAATGGCTCGTTGAAGCAGCATTCTGTCTCTCTTCAAACACTGTCATTTTATAATAATTGAACTCTGGGCTGGAGGTTGTCTAATAGGAGTTAATAGTGCTTGTAAAATCCTATCTCTATAGTATGACTTATCTCCTGATTTCCCTTAGAAAAAATGCAAATGAAGCCTAGAAGTAACTGTGGATTTCTCATCTAGAAAGGTCTGAATGTGTTTAACAAGTCTAATCGTGGGGCCAAAATAGAAACCCAAAGGGCAGGGAAGTGGAACGTCTAATTTCAAAGAAGGCAAATGGTGCTTGTGTGCTTGGTCCTTGCTCCTAAGGAGGCTTTTGTAATATTAAAAAATCTGCAACTCTTTCGAGTTAAGTTGCACAGGAAATGGTCTTGTTTGCATTCAGTATTCCTCTGATGAATCATGTGAATGCTGTGTTATTTTCTGCCCAGCCCAAAGCCAAAAGGAAAATGCACATCTGGCTTGTAAATCACAACCAAGCATTGATGCCTCACTTGCTCTTTATTGGGTGGCTGCCCTCTGTGCTTTACAAGTTCTTAGTGTGGCTTATGGGGCATCCTGATGGAAACCTCCCATGGCCTCTGAAGGATGGCATAGAGTGACCTCCAAATTCTCTTTGAAATGTAACATTTGCTACCTGATGTACACTTTCTGTGGTCCCCAGAGGAAATATAATTCATTTTTATCTTTTTATTTATTTATTTTTTTCTGTTTAGAAATTGGCCCCTGGTTACGGGAGTTCAGAGCGAAGAATGCTGTGGATTTCTCGCAGTTAACATTTGACCCAGGACAGAAAGAACTTGTTGTAGGAGCAAGGTGAGAGATATTGTGATTTGCCACCGCAGATATTTTTGGACTTCATCTGACATCTGTGCAGTTATGTGTGACCTTCCCTGACAAAACTGAAGAGTGCTGAACAATATTACTTCTTTTAAGAATGAAATACAGTATGTGTCATAAATATACTACTGCTAATAAGATGTTGATGGCTTCCCGTTAGACCAAGCATTGATGGGGCCCTCACCCTGTGTCAGGAACTGTTCTAACATGAATTAACTCATTTGTTCTTCCATGCAAACCTGGGAGGTAGGTACTATCAGCAGTGCTGTTTTAGAGATGAGGAAACTGAGGAAGAAAGTAGATAAATCAGTGTCCCAGGGGCATATGCCTAAGAAAAGATGGATCTGGATTCCCAACCCAGGTTGTTTGACTCCAGAAACCATGTTCCTGACTTCCCACTATATTCTTCAGTAGGATTCTAGAGATCCAGAGATCCTGATGTGTACTCCAAGGCCCACCACCACCTTTCTTTGTCACCTTGATTAGGTCATGTAACAGTAAGTTGAGAATTCAAGGAAGTTATTTTCATCTGTGTCTCTTAAGGGCGTGCATCTTCCCATATCTAGGTCAACACCTGCATTCCAATTTGACGATGAGGCCACCGAACACAATGAAAACAAATTTGAGTTCTTTCCCCAGTTTTCACTCACTCCCTTAGAAAACCTGCATACCTGTTTGGGGATTGTATATCTGTCTTTTAAGAAAATTGATATTAAAGTTGAAGACAGGGGCCATTTGTAGAATTGGGTTCTTCTGACACCTAAGGAGGGCACATTGGGCAGTGGAGAGTTCATTATCTTTTTCATCCAAATCTACCAGAGTATAAAGCATACTTTTGATAGCTACGGAGGTTTTGCAGTCTCTGTATAAACTTGAGTGAAACCAAATCTAGCTTATACTCTGGGCACTCTAGATGAACACTGAACAGTTTCTAGGATCGCTGCTCTTGCTGTCAGATCTTGAGGAGTCCTTGGACATCCACTCAACACTTGAAGTGATGAATGGTTGTGATTTTACATGAGTAGGTAGAGGTTGGCAGAGTTTATTGCACCTAACTAGTTACTTTCGGATCTTTGGATGTTTGTGAGGAGGCAGTGAGTATAGACGGGACAAAGCTACTTGGTGTTCTTTTCCTTACTTTAGTCCAGTCAGAATACTGGGTGGTTTCTGATGCTCGCTTCCATCAAACTGCATCACTTGGATTTCAGCCTGTGTTTTGCGGCGGTGGGAGCTAGTCCCTGGCCTCCAGATGTTCTCCTCCTTCTGCATACCACAGCCAGCATTGTCTTGTAAACATGCCCACTTTCAGTAGCTCCCAGTGGGTCCATGCTGGCTCCCTGGTGTTGTATGCCAGGTCTTCTACCTTGCATTCTCATCTCCCTTCCAGACTTCCTGTTTTCATTCTCACATGGTCCAGGCCTGTGGAATTATTTATTCTGTCTGCAGTTATGGAATATGCTCTTTCTTGCCTCTGGGCTTTTTCCCTTCTGACCTCTTTCTCATTTTCTGGAATACTGGCTACCACCCACCCCTACTCCAAATTCTCTGCTTGGTAAACTCCCACTTGTAGTAAGGACCTGGCTCACAGGTCACCGTCAGTCCTGAGTTGCCACATTCCCTGCCTTGTGTGCCCACCTGACATCTACTTTTTTTGTTCTGCACTTACTGTAGAATACTGCATTATTTCTTGACAAGCACCCTTATCAGATGGCAACTTACCCAAAGACAAGGGTAGTGCCTGTCTTTTCTTTATTTCTGCAGAATATAGCATAGATTTTTACTGCTCATAGAAGCTCAGAGATAACTGTTGATTCAACACATTTATTTCCAGAATTGAATTGGTAATTGTTCCCCTCTGCATCTGGGTGAAGTCTCAGGGAAAAGGGGGTTGGGATTATAAAAGCTTATCCCAGATACCTACATTTGGCAAGGGCACGAGCCAGCGGCAGGCTGTATACACCAAAGCTCACCCTGAGGGAAAATTAGCTTTCACTCTGAGCCAAGGGAAGAGACCCCTTAATGGAGGGAGCAGGTACAAATATGACCCCAAGTAGTGTTTTGAGTATTGCATCCCTCATTCATCTCTATAGAACTCTGGAAGGGTTTTACTGTGACTTTGTCTCTGGAGGTCCTGGGTGCTGTGTGAACAGATCAGCACTACATTCTCTGCAAGTGATTGGCTTTTGGTTAGTGACTCAAGATTTTCCTAAGGGATGTGAGAAGCCACGGAGGAAATTAGGGTATTGTGAAGAGATGGCTTATGCTCCTGTTCTGGCTGCAGATAGCAACCGGGAATTGTTTTCAAGGGCTACTTGTCCCAGGAGGTCTCCATCCCAGAGTCCCTGGAGTTCTCTATTCCAGTGTCAGTGGGGTCTCTCTCTCAGTATCCCTAAAGGTCTCTGTCCAATATCTCTGATGGTTTCCATCTTAGCATCCCTGGAAGTCCATATCCCAGTGTCTCAGAGGTGTCTCCATTACAGTGTCCCTGGAGTGTCCATCCCAATGTCCCTAGATTCTCCATCCCAATGTCTCTGGTGGCTTCCATCCCAGGGCGCCTGGAATCTGCATCCCAATATCCCTGGAGTCCTCATCCCAGCATTCTCAGAGATCTCCATCCTTTGCATATCCACATGGTCTGCTGGGAAGGATTAGATGGGCCACCGAGTCAACCTGGCATGCCATATGGCATGGTGGACATGAATACACAGGATTGCCAGGTTGCAAATAAAAATCTAGGATGACCAGTTAAATTTACATTTCAGATAACAACCTTTTATATTCTTATCATAAGTATGTTCCAAACGTTTGTTGACCCCAGGAGCATGGACTGTAGTTTTCTATTCTGCAGCAGTGTGTGGTACCTTATAGATATTTGATAAAAGGAAAAAAAAAAAAAAGGCTGGCCCTTATTTAAATGACTCTAAGCCAATTTCAGAGCCAAATTTTCTCATCTTTAAAGATAATGTAATAATTTCTACTCCTTTCAGCTGTTGCAAAGATTAAATAAAATAACCCATGGGAAGTTATTGTCACTTAACAGTCAAGCTGGTGAGCACGCAGCCCTAGTGAAGCTCTGAGGTTCTTCATGGGTTTCACATATGTGTGCACATGCCTTTGTGGAAGAGAATAGGAATTGCACTTAGGAAATTTCATGGGATTAGGCTCAGCTCAGAAAGTTTGAATGGGAGTGTGACTCAGATATAAAACTTTAAAAATAACCCAGCCCTCAGATTCCTGTTTGGCAAAGCTTGACTTAGCAAGCGTAAGTTTAGATAACAGGTGTATTATTTCAGAAATCAGTAATGATTTACAAATATGGATTGTGAAAAAAAAATAGAATGCTACTGGATTTTTCTTAATAGCAGTCAGCATCGTGGAGCCATTTATTGGATGGTTTCACTTTATACTAGCGATACTTTATGTTTCTAAAATTGAATTCAGTTAAAGATTCTTTGTACTCTTTGATAAAAGAAGTGCATTGTGCTGCAAAAGAAAAGTCTCTCTTTAGGCGATTTGTGGTTATGTGACATCGGAAGGTACTTGGATGTGAATTCAGGCAATTTCTGGAAGAAGTCATATATTTTCATTTCCAAGATGCACATTATCTTTCATATTATCTTAAATGCATTGATAGTCATATCCTGTTTTACCCTAGTCTCTTTAAAAATTAATAATATTTGTGTTTTCAGTGATGAAACTTAGGCATCTTCATTTTAGAAAATGTAGAAAATACAGTAAAGCATAAAGAAAAAACAATTTCAGAGATAATCACAGTTAAGCTTTTCAGTTATTTCCTTGCATTATTTGATTTCTATTTGTTCCTACTCTTGGAATAATATTTGTTGAATGATAGCATACTTCTTTGTCACAAATCCTACTAAGATCAGTTTCCTTGGTAAAAAAAATTCCAAATGAAAGAATATGTTATCACTGTTTTTGGTAAAGAAGATTATAAAAGGAATGGCAGTGATAATACTCCACACACTTGATACAAGTGTTTCACTGCAGATTGAATTGTTGCAACAGATGCAAGGGAGGGTGATTACATTTTTATTTCCCAAATGAATTTGTTCGTCTTTAGTGTTTCAGGTTCATTCTAAGGGTGGCAAGTAATTCCATCCCGAATCACTCTGATATGTATTCTGTGCTGAATCCAAGTATTATGCCAAATGGCAGCTAAATCACTTGACACATAAGGCAGTGTTTGACTGCTGTTGGGCATTTACAAATTGGCCATATTTTTATAATGCATAAAGCCCTACAGTGCTAATGGAAAAGAGTTTATTATCAAAGCATCTGTAGCATGAGTCTTTGCCACTGAACTGTGGGGAACATGTGGAACCACTGTTTCTGGCTGTTTAGGTACTTTTTTTCAAAATGTGATTTTTCCAAATGAAAACATTTTTAAACATGCATCTTACTTTCTAAAATGTGAATTTTCTTCAGGTTTTTAAATGTGCTTCTAGGTCTTTATTTTTGTCCAGTAACTGAATTCTGTTTCTCTTACTTTTCTCCAACCAGCTTGAGTGTAATATAAACACATAAATAAAAGGGCACAGGCCTGGCGTGGTGGCTCACGCCTATAATCCCAGCACTTTAGGAGGCTGAGGCAGACAGATCATGAGGTCAGGAGATGGAGACCATCCTAGCCAACATGGTGAAACCCTGTGTCTACTAAAAATACAAAGGAATTAGTATAGATTTCTGATTAGCATGTTTATTTTTAAAATAAATAAATATGCAAAATCTGAATGCTTCCAAGGCAGAGCTTGGTTTTCCTTATAGTAACAAAAAAATGATTGGCTGAAAAATTTTAGTTGATTATTTTGAACCATTTGGCTAACGGTTTGAATTTACAGAAATAAAAAAGGAAAGATTAACTTGCTGTTTTTGTGCTTGGGCTGAATTTGCTTTAAGTATTCAAAACTCTTAAGAGATAAACTTAGGTGCATTAAAATGTTAACGAGTTTATTTCA